GGAAAAACTACCAAGAGGAATTGTTTAGAACACGGAACACTAATGTAATCTTTAAACACCTAAAGAACTTGAATAAACATACAAGTCTTCCTAAGTTACTCATAAAAGATGAAGATGAAAGCACAAATCCAAACGAACAAGTCAACATGCTAAACGACTTCTTTCATTCAGTTTTTAATCCTAAAGAAAGTTTTAGTATTAGAGATATTCAATTTGAAAATCCCTTGTTAACGAATTTTGATGTATCGAAAAAGACAGTAAGTGAGATTTTATCAACTCTGGACGTAACAAAGTCACGCGGCCCAAATGGGTTGCCACCTAGCTTTTTTCAGAAAACGAACCGCAATATATGCAAACCGATGAACAAACTTTTGAGAAACGTAAAACGCCTACGAAAAATACCTGATTCATGGAAAACAGCTGCAGTTACTCCTGTTCACAAAAAAGGTGACCGAAAAATGGTGAACAACTATCGACCAGTTTCGCTATTAAATATTGACAGCAAAGTCCTTGAAAAATGTATATACAAAGACCTGTACCCTTACTTTGCCTGGTATTTGACGAAACATCAACACAGTTTTACTAAAGGTAGATCAGTTTTGACAAACATGCTCTCTTTCCTGAAAGAAATATATGAAGCGCTTGACAATGACTCAAACGCAGAAATTGTAGCATTCTACACTGACTTTGCAAAAGCCTTTGATAAAGTTCCGCATTTTGATCTACTTAAGAAAGTTGCACTTATAGGAATAGGAGGCTGCATGTTAGAGGTACTCTATGACTATTTGAAAAACAGGAAACAGTTTGTACGAGTAGACAATATCAGCTCAAAAGTTTTAGAAGTCACTAGTGGTGTTCCCCAAGGATCACTTTTAGGACCACTGCTCTTTTGCATTTTTATTAACGACCTACCTGAAGTACTCAAATTCTCTGAACCATATATTTTTGCGGATGATCTTAAACTACTTTCCATCAAAAAAACATCAATTGAAATTCAAGAAGATCTGGACAAAATTCAGCAGTGGGTAACTGAAAACAAAATGGAATTAGCACTAGATAAATGTGCAAAAGTAAGTTTTAGGGGCGGAGACGCTAACTCTATGCTTTTTGGTGTAGTGCTTGGAACATCGATGGTTGTGAAAGATCTGGGAATTTTTGTGTCGGGCGATTTAAGTTGGAAGGTACACATTGAAACAAGATTAAAGAAGGCAAACCAAGTACTGTACCTCCTGAGAAGAAACCTATCAGCAAAGATAAATACGTTTGTAAAGTTAGGTCTGTATAAGTCACTAATACTCCCAGTGTTATTATACGGACTCTCATGTACACATATATCGAGGGGGGATCAATTGCAGTTGGAGCGATTTCAAAAGAAAGTAATCCGTTGGATCACTGGAAATAAAACGGGAGTGTACATCAACGAACTACGCTTGCTAAACATTTTACCCCTGCCCATGTTCATCCAGCTAAATAACATCTTTTTTCTTGCCAGTCTTGATTCTAATGAACGAAATGAAATAGTGTTAAACAGGCGAACCACACGGGCTAGAAATACAGAAATTTTTGAGATGCGAAAAGTGAGAACGGAAAAAGCGAGAAACGAATTTGTTTTCAGAACCAGTAGGATTGTAAATCGATTAGAACCATATATTCATTTTGATAAACGAATCGGCCTCAAGACGAGAATTTTAAACACGATGTGGAAATTTGTAAACGAGAGATTTTCAGAAATGACAACGTGCACGTGGCAATTATTCTGTGATTGTATCACGTGCAGAAACAAGTCGACATTGTTTTAGAGAAGATGCCGGGACCAAGAAGCCCAACAGCTGTGCTGTGAATCCCCAACAACAACAACAACAACAACAACAACATTATCAAAACTAATTAAGGTGGTTTTATCTGAATTAATTGTTAGTTTATTTAAATTCATCCATTCTGACATCTTTGTGACATCCTCTTGGAAACATTCAAACCGTGCGCTATCAAAGGCTATGTTGGTATCATCCGCAAACAGAAAAACTTTTGAGCTAGATGCAGCAAGGTGCAAATCATTTATATACACCAAAAAGAGAAGGGGACCTAAAACAGATCCCTGGGGAACACCGGTGGTCACTGGCAACCAATCCGACGATCAGTCATTTATTTGAACACATTGAAATCTGTTGTTTAAGTAACTGTTAAACCAAGCGAGACAATTATCCGGGATACCATAATTTTCTAATTTACTCAAAAGAATTTTCATATCCAGAGTGTCAAATGCTTTCTTCAAGTCAACAAATAGGCTGCATTTAATTTTCTTGTCTTTACACATTCTTAATCTTTCATTTAATTCAGCTAACGCATCAATGGTTGCCAACTTTTGCCGGAAACCAAATTGTCCTTCGTAAATAATATTAAATTTTTCAAGGTAACTATACAATCTAGAGTGCATGATTTTCTCAAAGATTTTGCCAAAGCTATTTAATAGTGCAATTGGATGGTAATTGCTAATATCCAATTTGCTCTCAGATTTATGCAGAGGCATAACTTTAGCATATTTCAGCGCCTGAGGAAAGGTGCCACTTCTAAATGATAAGTTAATTAGATAAGTTAATTAGGGAGCTAGACCAAAACAGGTTTTAATGAGGAACATGTTACTTATTTCATCCATGCCACAAAAATTTGTCGGTTTCAGGCTATCAATAGTGTATTCAGGCTATCAAACGAGCATTCAAAAAGGTACATAGAATGAGTCACACTTTCAGGTTGGACGACTTTATTGCCACAGGCAATTTTTTTTTGGCAAGCTTTAATCCAATTGTAGCAAAGTAGTCGTTGAAAGCATTGGATATGGTGTGCGGATCAGAAACATTAGTCCCTTCTAACTGTATGGTGGGTACCTTTGAACTTCCTTTTTCTTTACCGTTTATTTCTTTTAACAACTTAAATACCTGTCTCGAGTCTCCGATACAATTGTTAAATCTTTTAAAGTAATACTCTTTTTTTAGTTTTCTTATCATTATTTCAACGTTTTTCCTTTTAATGTGGAATTATTTTTATTTTCAATGTTGCTAACATCAAGATTCCAAATTTTGTGTAGTTTGTTTCTTTTTAAAATTGCATTTTTCATTTCTTTACAAAACCACGGCGCGTTAACATTTGTACGTTACGTTTGACTTTTGAATTTCTTATTGGTGCTAATATATTAATGCTTGAAAGCAAACATTCACTAAATGCATCATAAGCAACATTTATGTCGGCTTCATTGACTATATGAGATTGTTCTAGCATTTCTTTTATAAGAACTATAAAGTCATTTAGGGATTTCTCCTTTTTTAAAAAGGACATGTCACGATACGTTGAAGATAATAATTCATTTTCTGTCAAACTAAATGTAAGGATGATTGGGCAATGATCCGAAAAGCATTCATTTTCTAGGGTTCTTATAGATGGATTGCGAGTATTGCATGCTATCATATGATCAATAGATGTTCCATTTTTTCCAGTGATGCGAGTTTCATTTTTATTTAAAAGTTCAAACCCATTTGCAGTAATAGTATTCAGATTTGATCTCGTAAGGTTGTTTTCTATGGGAACATTTATGTTAAAATCTCCTGTTAGAATACCGGGTAATTTTTAATGACTAAACAATTCCAATTCCCTGTCTAATTCATCGACAAAAAATTTTTTTTCATATCTAGGCGGCACATAGACTACTAATATTATCATTTTATTCCCAAACACTTCAACTAGAGCTGCTAATGATTCGGAAAGAGAAGTTGATAATGGTTCTATTAAATTTACATTTTCGCCAAGTTGTATCATAGTTCCTCCAACTCTCGTTTTGCGGTTGTTGCTAAGAATTGTAATAAATCCTTTGAAACTAAATATTTTTTCATTGTCTGTTTCAGTTAGCCATTTTTCGGTAAAACATAGTACATTAATTGTTGGAGACTCGAGACTTAGAAGTGCTTCTATATCCTCATAGTGCTTTTTAAGAGACCTAACATTGGAAGTAGTAGTAATTCAAATTTATTAGCACCGCAGGGTTTAGATGGAGTAATTGCTTTAGATTTATGAGCCTGATTGAGCCGAGGCAAACGGGAAAACACCAGTAAAACAACTCATCACACTATTCAAACTGTACTTTAGAGTGTCACCTCCTTCATATAATCCATGAATTTTGTGTACATTTTGATCATCCTTCCACAAGAAATAGATAGAGCCTTCTCTCGTCCAAGCTGATTGAATGCGCGTATCTGACTTCATCATTCTCAAAAAGTTCATTCGAGCTTTAGTTAAATCTTCGAATATCTTAACGTTGTTATAGAGATCAGTTGAAGCTAGTTCTTTTTTCCTCTGCAGCAAGTGGGTTTTTTTTCACCCTTCTTGTAAATTTCACTATTACTGGCTTGACTCCGGCACCTCTTGAGGGCAGCCGATGCGCGGTGGATATATCTTGTTCTGTAATATTGGCATTGATACTATTTGATACAGTTAGAACGTTTTTAATGGTAGCGTCTATTGTTTCTTTTCTTCAATTGCTCGTTTCTTCAGTGATCCCTAATATTTTAACGTTCTCTCTCCTGTTGTAGCTTTCAAGAAGTTCTGCTTCGGATAGCGCTTTAAGGTTCGACCTACATTCGACATTGACGATTTCGCCTTTTACCATATTGAGCACTTCTGCCTTCAGTTTGGTGGTTGCTTCGGCAATAGTTGACATTATGATCGACTCGATTTGACTTTTGAACTTATTCAATACTTTGGCATCAGTTTTTGCATGGATTTAGATATTGCGTCCTTGATCTTTTTTGCAATCGTTGAATTCAAGATGTCAGAGTCATCAAGTTCCCCACATGGGCTTAGCACGGCACACTGTCTTTTGCTTCCGGGTGCAGAAACGGGAGTCTGGTCATGGAATTTAAGTATTGGCAGCACTTGATCTTGTTGAGCAGGGGATTCATTGTTGCCATCATTCAGGTTATCATCATTCATGTTATCAGCATTCATGTTCGTTCTCTATTTAATAAGTTTATCACAACAATTAGGCTAATGGCCCAATTCTCTCCTGTGGCAAGAAATATTCGTCTACCTAAAGTCAGTAACAAAATCGAGGGTGCTAGGGCCGAGTCCACCTAATGTCTCTACTGCAACTGGCTGGAAGAAGTGTGTGTGTGCCATGGCCGAGTTTTTACCGACTTTTCGAGACTCGGCAAGTTCAGCGACACATGGACCAGGAGTAGCTGCTTGGGTGGAATATGAGGCGGCTAGACGATGCACGCAGGTGAAATCCCACGCCATGAAGCGTCCTAAACGCAAAGGCATCAGGGTAACGCCGTCTGGCCTTTTGTTGTCGTTTAGGAACATACCTGCTGGTTCCAATTCTGCTGCAATATGAGCACTCTGCAGGGCTTTGTGGATAATCTCGTTACAGAGTTCGTGCCTAGCATGGCGACTCCGACTGCGAAGATAGACGAACGCGTGTGACCCGTCCGCTTCAACCTTGGTGCCACACCAACAGGTGTGTGAGGAGCAAATTGGTGCACCTAGTCTGAAGCTAACGGCGATTCTCAGCTGCTCGTCTGACATATGCAATCCTAGAGATCTCGAGGGCATAGCATTGAGCCAGTCGCTCGCTCCTTTACAAGCAGCTCCATGTAACCTGGCGGCATCGCTGGCTGTGGCTTCCTGGAGAAACTGGCTAACTTGTTTTTCCGTGATTTTGTCGTATATTTCGCGCTGTTTAAAAGATCGCGGGGGAGCTCCATCTGCTGTGAAAGCATCGAAGTTAGTAAGGGCGTGCGTTATTACGTCAGTTTGAGAAAAGGCATAGACCTGCTGTGCTAGATCTTTGACTGAAAGGAAAGACGAGAGGTACGAAACGACAGCCAGTTTAGTAGGAGGTAAGATACCAAAGCCTCCAGAACGGGCAGGTAGTGAGGCTTGCTGCCACGCAGCAACAGCTATCTTGATGTTTATGATGTTTTCCAGAAGACTTATAATTGTGTTCTCAAGCGTGAGAAGGAGGTCAGTTCTTCGATAGACTTACTTCTGATGTTCGAAAGAAGTACATCAGCTTAGGAATGAGAAAACAATTCTTCAGCAGGAATAGAGCACAGTGTGAGGATACGTGTTTCAGCCGCTCTTGCATCAGAAGGATGGCTTTCAGCTTCTGGTTGAAAATAGTTTCAATCGAGATCGGTCCCAAGGCAGAGCCAAGAAGCTCAATTTCAGAGTCCTGCGCAGTCTTGATCCTGGGGCACAGAAGCTTGAACTCGTTGGTAACCTTGGTGCGAAGCTCATGATTAGGACTGAAGAAAACTATTTCACACTTTTCATCGTTCAAGGACAAGCCGACTTTTTCGATCTCAGCCATGATGAGGCGAAGATCCCCAATGACAATCTTCCAGTCGTCGCCTTTAGTGATGTCGTCAATATAATCAATTTTCAACCTGGCCTTCAATCTGACGATAAATCTGTGGGTGGACAGACGGAAAAGGAAAACTGCTAGAGGGTCTGCTTGTTGGAACCCTTCCTCAGAGACAATGAACCCTTCGTCGAAAGACAAGAAGCTTCCCTGTTCGTAGCAAAGTCTGTAGAACGGAAGAAGTTCCGGCATTTCTTCTGCAAGGAGTTCAGCGACATAGTCTCTTCTAACGGTGTTGAATGCATTGCTGAAGTCCAGCTTAAGCAGAACATCGTTTGTCATTAGCGCTTTTGATGAATGCCCGAACTGCATGGACCGCAGCTTCCGCTCCTCCCCGGGTGCCTAACCCAACTTGAAGGGGAGCGAAGTAGGATTTGAACTTCGAACTGGCAATACTGGCTGCACATTTGCCAGCAACTCGGCGCAGTGTGTATCCCACAGTTATAGGGCGCAGGCCTCCGTTGGGCTTGTTGAAAGCACTCAAATTGGCGCCAGCAATTAAGGGTTTTATTCTGTCTGAAACTTTTCCGGAAAGGAGAAGGTTAACAAACTCAGTAAGCGCTGATTTCAGGTTCGAGGCGTCTTGACCAAGTTTATCACTTAGACAGTCCTTCACATGTTGAGGACGCAAACAAGTGGTACCTCCTGCAGATCCTGGCGCGGAGCTCATGACAGCCCTATAGACATCGTCTTCATTAACAATTAAAGTAGTGTTAACGTTTTGCGGATAAACTCTTCTGTCCAGTGGTGTTTCCGGATGCTTACTCTCAAGTTTCTTCAGAGTAGTTGAATCAAATGGGGCAATCGTGGCATCAGAGGAAGCAAGTCTGACAGCGCCACGAACATCACCTTCATCAAATATTTCGGAGATTTTACGGCCGGTATTGTCGGCAGGATCCGATTTCCGTTTCATTGTTTTCTCGGAAATCCGGTTGCCAGCGACGAGCAAGCGATCTTTATCCGCGTTCTCGAACTCCTGGGTTTGCTGATTGAGGATAGTAGCAAGTGACTTACGTTTCCTGGTTCCGCCCCGATCTGGTTGACGAAGGCAACTAGTTGCTGCAAAAACAGTCTGACCCAGTTGAACTCGTCTTCGGGGCTAGCAACGACTTGGCACAAGCAGTCCTTCAGCAGTTTAGCAAAGTGACGCCTACTAGTTTTCTTGAGGAGATCCAGGATGTTGTTGGGACTCCGCATGGTGTTTGTCTCACCTCGGGAGCTGCACGAAAATACATGCAGTCCGGAAAATACATCGTCCGATCTGCCCAGGCGTGTTGCTTCCTTCTCATTGATACCCGCGCATGAGAAGTGATACCACATCCAGCAGTAGTCACCTTGGATTCCTCTGCTGACAACGCGTTTCCCGAATCTGCATTCTGCTCGTCCACAAGGGGCAGGTCGACTGGGCATCTTGTCGTGATTCCGGGATCAGTCACCATTAACCGGAAACTATTTAATAAGTTTATCACAACAATTAGGCTACAAGATCAAACTTCCAAATATGACCGACTGGCGCAGAGGGAAAGGGTTGATCCATCTCCAATGTATATGATGATTTTTATCTATTGAACAAAAACAATAGAAATATAATTAATAAGTAGTAGCCCATTATTACTAAAACTATATAACAACTGTAACATTCGCCCGGAAGTCCATACCGACGTAAAAACAATGTAATATTCGCCCGGAAGTATATATCGACGGAAAACAAAGCTAGGTTGTAAAACGACTGGCTAGTGTCTAAACACATATCTACATGCTTTTAACCGTCTCTACCAAAGCCAGTTCTTTGTGTAGTCCTTCTAACCTCGGTTCGAGAGAATCGTTACTGTTTTGGGCTATCGGCAAAATTAGTGAGCTAATGGCTGGGTCTCAGTATCCCCAGACCACGAGGTCACACCTAAAAACAGGGCTAATACTTATTAATTATATTTGTATTGTTTTTGTTCAGTAGATAAAAATCATCATATACATTGGAGATGGATCAACCCTTTCCCTCTGTGCCAGTCGGTCATATTTGGAAGTTTGATCTTGAGCAACGTTTGGTCTTGATTTTGTTGTGAAATGAAATTTTTCAAAGATTCGAAGTAGCGTGATCAAAGCAGCACAGCGGTGAGAAGTGTAACATAGCGGCGGATAGCGACTGCCGATATGAAATAGCTGAACTACTGCGTTCTTTAATGCAAAACTCCTGGGATAAGGGAGAAATACCCGAAGATTGGAAATGCGCAATTATAACAGCGATTTACAAAAAAGACGCAAAAAGTGACCCAAACAATTACCGACCTGCTAGCCTTACATCAATCTGTTGCAAAATAATGGAAAAAGTGATAAGAAGACAACTGTTTGACTTCTTGAGACCAAACAACATCTTATCAGAAAAAAGTATGGTTTCTTTCAAGGTCGATCAACGACTCTCCAGTTATTAAAAGCGTTCGACGACTGGACTGCTGAACTGGACAAGGGTTATTAGGTAGACATAGTGTACATTGACTTCCAAAAAGCTTTTGATAGCGTTCCCCACAAAAAACTATTGAACACAAAATCAAAATCTGGTATCAAAGGGAAAACTTTAAGCTGGATCACAGCATTCTTAACGGATAGGTGTGCCAGTCGGTCATATTTGGAAGTTTGCACTTGGGCAACGCAAGAAACATGATTTTGAGGTGAGATGGTTTTTTTTCAAAAATTCTAATTGAGCATGGCATGCTCAAGTTTCTCGAGACAAGTGAAAATATAAAAAATTAATATCAGAAGATCCGAATTAATTGCGGGAAAGTAATCAAAAAAACAGCGGGAAATCGCTATTCGCAATTTCCTGGTATAAGATTACACGGGAGTAGAGCTGTCTTATTCGAAACAGAAGGCAGAACAATCGCGAGTAAAGAACAGATAAATTAGAAGTCGACCAGAGTGAGCCTTCGGTGGGAAGGTGGACAGGCGAAGTCTCCCAATGGTCCAGAACCAAAGTTGTCTCTTGATTTAAAACTGTTTTATTCAGAACTTTTTGAGTTAAACTTGATTATCCATATTGGCTAGAGTTATTGGTTAATTAAGTTACTCCAATTCTGGAGTGTGCTGGTATAAGAGTACCCAATTTAAATTTCTTGAGTGTTTTTTATATTGTTATGTTGAGTTTAGGAGAGTTCTAGGTTGGCCCATCTGAAAGGAATCGAAGTTCCACTTCCCAATAAAAAGTAGCTATACGGATTGTAGCTATACCCTGTTTTTAAGGGCGTTCGCGTGCTTTAGGTATTTTGAGACCTAAGTATGGGGACATTCTAATTTTCTAGAGTGGAGGATATTTTGGTAGCGGCCTTTAAGCTGTAACAAAGTTTTCAGTCTCATGTCATTGGTGAACCGAATTGGCTCCGACCGTTTGAGGTAGAAAAACACAAGAGATAGTGTCCCTTACTCTTGAGCCACTGGTTATAGGGCTTATTTTTCTTTAACCTCATATGTGACTGAAGTAGGCGACTGTTACACAGTGTTTTTATGGGGCTCCTGGGTGGATATGAACCACCAACCTTTCGGTTAACGTGAACCGCCCCAGGAGTGCATGAACCACCCGGTTAACATGAACCATCCCAGGTTAACATGAACCACCCCAGGAGT